TGTCTTTATATACAGTCAGTGTCTTTATATACAGTCAGTGTCTTTATATACAGTCAGTGATCGTCTTTATATACAGTCAGTGTCTTTATATAAACTGACTCACTGGTGATGAATGTGTTGCTGAAGGTCACTGAGTCTTTTGATGACACTGAGCTGTGGTGAACTGAATTCTGGGAGCTGTGGAGCTGAAAGTGAAGACAAACACTTAAATAACATCAGAGGTGGTAAAAATACACACACAGATAGAATCAGTACTTATACAAGTAAAAGTGTTAGTACTGATCCAACCTCTTTTCTCAAGTAAAAGTATGAAAGTACAGGTTCTGAAATGTACTCAAAAGTAGTGTTTGTACCATGTGCTCCAGGATGGAGGTGTTGGAGTAGATGGGCTGGTCCCGGCCTGGTCCACCCAGGTGGAAGGGGTCGTCCATGTAAGTGTTGGAGGTGGGAAACCTCCGAGTCTGCAGCCCGCTGAGGAGAGAGACAATCAATATCACTGAAGAAGAAGAAGAAGAGATGAAGGACGTGACCCTCACCTGAGAACTGTGTGCCCATGTGCATTGTTGTCATGGTGACTGTGACTGACAGCTCCGTCCTGCAGTAGCTTCAGCCAGCGCTCCTTTTCCTCCAAACTACCGACCTGAGGGAAGGAGGAAACAAAAATCTAATCTTCATTTTTTATTTATTATTATTACTCAAAAACTAATACTTTCGTTTTGTTCTGATTCTTTTAAAGGTCATTTTCCACTTTATATAATCAGAAATGCTCATTTTAAGTCAATATAGTTGAAGCTATGAAGTTTCTCATTTAGTTTCATGCTGGCTGATTGTGCCCCCTAGTGGTGAAGAGACTAAACAGTAGAGGATCCAGAGTGGATCCCTGTGGTACTCCACACGTCATCACACAACCGCAGCTCACAGTGAATTTCACGTGCAGACGACCACATAACAACAAACTTTACTTTGTGATCAGATTTAATCAGGAAATGTTTTTTTAACTATCTTAATATCTGTCCAGATGTTTTTCTACCAGATGTGTAAATTAATTAAAGTTTTTATATTTTAATCTCAGAGCATATTGGAGCTTTTTTCTCATAAATTCATGACTTTAAAATGGCCATGACATCTCTGTGTGTATTCACGTGCACTGTCCCTGCACGTGAATACACAAACAAGTGAATTGATAAGAAAATAAAGACTGTGAGCAAACACGTCCACTCACCTCCAGCACAGCGACCTGGTCCCTGAGCATGCTCAGTGTGATCCTGTGGGAGTGGTCAGTGTCGGGCCCGGCTCGTACCTCGCAGCCTCGGAGCTGGACGGTGTACTGAGGAGATCGCTCCCTCTTTGTCTCCCCTCCCTCCTCCTCCTCCTCCTCCTCCTCCTTCTCCACCTCCTCCTCTCCAAACATGTTGAGGACGCCGGCCTCCACCCGACACAGTAAACTCTGCCACTGACAGTTCATCAGCACGTTCAGGAAGCCTGTCAATCACAAACACCATGGAGGGGATCAGCTCTGGGTCCCCTATCCTCCATCTTCTCACTGAGCAGCGATCATGATCCACAGCGTCTCCCACACTGACGCAAATGAGTGTTTTAGTACGTACTGCTCGTTACAGGACTCAGAAAAGTGACGTCTGTCGTTGTGTGTTGTTTCTGTTCAGCTGAAGATAAAAGTGTATCAAGTGTCTGCAAACAGGATCTGGACATTAACTGAAATGTTTCAAACTGTGGAACAGAGGAACGTCTCTGACACTCTCAGTACCTTTGTGTTTGTGGACGCTGCAGCCAGCTGAAGGTTTCTCCTCCTCAGAGTCAGTCTGGACTGAACTGGACTGGAGACAGACACAGAGAGGGGACGTCACTTTTTATAACTGGAACTCCTCTTCATCACAGGACAGGATGTGACACAGAGCTACGAAGCTGCTGGAGGGTTATTGTCGTCTGGTGATTCACGTTATACTGTTTTCTACTTATTGATTCATCTGGAGGGTGTGTGTGTGTGTGTGTGTGTGTGTG